GCAGGAGAACAGCTTCTGACGTCATCAGCACGCCATATTTGGTCCGAATCTCACTGAGTCATGCCACGTTGTTGATTTCGCGGCCCGCACGAAGATGACGTTGAACCCGACCATGTTCTACGAGTATTTATAACGCAGACTGCAGCATCCCGAAGGGCTGTTTCCCTTCTGTAATCACGTGACGTATTTTTAACACCCCGTGTCGTTTGAGGTATATAACGTATGCAGTTAAAACAGCGTCGTCGAAACTGACAGTCGGTTCGCGTGATAAGTCTTACAGTAATAATAACTCCTGATTTCATAATTACAGGACGGGTGACGTGACGAAGTGATTTCTCGTCAAGGCCACGTCAGAATTCTAAGTATTTTGTTAAACTGTTCAAGATCAAATGAAGAACTTAATTTGTACTTTTCTATACTCGGGCGAGATGAGATGAACCTTCAAATTCCTTCATAGCAGGGAATTTGACTGGTTTCTCAAGGTCTCCACAGAATGTAGGCTCACTGAAAGCTTTTATCCACACACTCGCCTTGGCCTGGGTGTAGAAACCCACACGTCGTGTTCTTGTAAGCCCACATCTCGAGTCACACATCAACTAAAGCTTGTTTCGTGGGATAAGAAAGCATTCAGACGTAACCATGTTTGAAACTAACCTTTCAAGCTGCTACGTAAGCTTAGGATGTCTGGGAGTAGATTCTTTAACATTAATATCTGAGTTAGCTGAGCAACTGTCAGCTTTTCAAGGACTCTGCACTGTGGAGTCAGTTTTGACACTGAATCTGTGCGAGTTAACTGGCAACTTTTATGTCTCGTAATCGAAAGTCTTATCTTCATGTTATTCATGGTCGAATGGGTGGATGATTATCATTTGAAACATCGAAATCGAAATGATACAGAGCTGAAATCGGCCATGTCAGAACAGTTTTAACTGAAGACCGGCTCCGGCTGTCCTACTCAGCATTTTTACGAAACCAAAATATTTGTAAAACATCTCCAAATGAAGATAATTTAAAAGCTAATACGACAGTAGTAACAGAACTACGAAATGATTCTATATTTGTTTATGGAAATGGCTTATGCTTTTTAAGTTACACTTCATTTTTCCTGTAATTTCAAATTATTGCACGCATAATTTCAATTACAGTGGTATTAATGCAGTCTGTCCGCAACAGATGGCTCAAATTCTAACGTGCTGGCGAAGCCTGGGGAAATTTTTGATTCAAAATGGCACCATTAAATTATGCAAACAGCAACATTTTTGATCAGAGGCATCCTATTGTGTGATGGTTCAACCAAACAACACAAAATTCTGCCCACACACCTGAAGATGGTACTCACTAGACCGAAACATGCAATGGACAAAATGAAAGCATGCATTTGGAAACAAAGATTACTGATGTGTGGGCGGATACGGTATCATTGGTTCAAACAACAAAATTTGTCATTTGTGACTAACGGCGTACCGAGATGACAACTTTGAAAGGCACAATCAGTAAATGGTTTATTGTTTAAAACAACACAAAATTCTGCCCACACACCTGAAGATGGTACTCACTAGACCGAAACATGCAATGGACAAAATGAAAGCATGCATTTGGAAACAAAGATTACTGATGTGTGGGCGGATACGGTATCATTGGTTCAAACAACAAAATTTGTCATTTGTGACTAACGGCGTACCGAGATGACAACTTTGAAAGGCACAATCAGTAAATGGTTTATTGTTTAACATACGAAGTATGAAAAGTAATATGTATAGTGGAAATGCATATTACTCCCGTTTAATCTGCATTAAAATGAAGTGCACATTTGCATTTCTACTGTGATAGAGATTATGGCACGAACTCCACAATAAGATGACGCGTTTCATTTCCCCTTCCGTTCCGGCAACTTACCCCACCCCAAATACCGTATTTTGTGTAGGCACAGTGTAAAGCCGTTTAAAATAAACAAATATTTTGCTTGATATTTTTTTTTAAAATGAATTGTTTCATAATAGATTATGGCATTTATTAATACTATACTTTAATCGTTTATAGATTAAATTGCTGTACAAAATATTCCTGTTTAAATTCGCCAATAAGGTGGCGTGTCTTGGAGAACCGCACCCGTATGACATCACATACCCATTGATGAACCAATGAGATGTCTGCATTCTATGATGCCAGAGTTCTATATACGCAAGGGACAGCCTATCCCAGCCTTATTGTCCGTTTGGAGAAGCATCGTCGCTAGGTTCTCGCAAACAACATCGAATAATTAAGACTGTTTTGTGTTTTTGTTTTGATATAAGTCATCAAATTAACTACTAGAATGGTGAGTACTATATTTCGCTCATTTCAGATATTTTTAGGAAGTAATTTTCGTTGTGTTCTTTGATTACAATGTTTTCCACGAATGGAATGTTCTACCTCTGCAAAATACGTTATTACAGGCTGTTGATGCAGCACACTCATAATGAAAAAATGAATTGAATTAATAAAATGTAAGTTCTGGCATCGAATTAATGCGAAAGTAATATGAATTTATAATTTTGTGTGATACGTTTATCATATAACCTAAATTTAATTAATTTTGCATCCACGTGGCAGTTGCATGTCGGAACTATTGCTACTGAGTATTCAATTTTTTTTTTTGTTAAGGCTTGAATAAATGATGGAATTTCCTTGTAAGAGAAAGTTGAGTCTGGAATTAATTTGTTTTAAACATGGAACGATCAGTGAGGTTCTGTATTAAATGAGTTTCCAATGTTGCTAAGAAGGGATTTGTGTGACCAGTGATGCATCCCTTGTTATATATTTGTACATGCATTGATGTGGCATTGTCTGAAGAATCACTGCTACCATATGTGTCGGTTTTGAACTGTGGCTCTAAAACATTTCTGAAATTCATAAGCTACTGTAATTTCATGTTTCACTTATTAGGATTTTTCAATTTCTTGTCATGTGCGAGGGTAGACTGAAGTAGTGTTCTGTTTCAGCGTGAGTGCATTTCAATTCATGTTGGGCAAGCCGGAGTGCAGATCGGAAATGCATGTTGGGAGTTGTACTGCCTGGAACATGGTATTCAGCCTGATGGTCAGATGCCATCTGACAAGACTCTGGGAGCTGGTGATGACAGCTTTAACACATTCTTCAGTGAAACTGGTGCAGGAAAGCACGTACCAAGAGCAGTGTTTGTGGACCTGGAGCCCACAGTAGTAGGTATGTACATTTGAAATCTTATGTAAGTGAATCAAAGGAGCATCCCATTTAATTGTATTGGGAAATGCTTGTTGAAATGTTGATGTTGGACGTTGACTGGTGTGTTCACAGATGAAGTTCGCACTGGCACCTACAGGCAGCTATTCCACCCTGAGCAGCTGATTACAGGAAAGGAAGACGCAGCTAACAACTATGCCCGAGGTCACTACACCATCGGCAAGGAGATCGTGGACCTCGTTCTGGACCGCGTCAGAAAGCTGGCCGACCAGTGCACCGGTCTTCAGGGTTTCCTGATATTCCATTCGTTTGGTGGGGGCACTGGCTCTGGCTTTACGTCTCTGCTTATGGAAAGGCTGTCGGTTGACTATGGAAAGAAGAGTAAGCTCGAGTTTGCGATCTACCCCGCCCCTCAGGTTTCGACTGCTGTTGTCGAGCCCTACAACTCCATCCTCACCACCCATACCACGCTCGAACATTCTGACTGTGCTTTCATGGTTGACAACGAAGCCATTTATGACATCTGCCGACGTAACCTGGACATTGAACGCCCCACCTACACCAACCTGAACCGGCTGATTGGCCAGATTGTATCCTCGATTACCGCTTCTCTCCGGTTCGATGGCGCTCTGAATGTTGACCTGACTGAATTCCAAACTAACTTGGTGCCCTACCCCCGCATCCACTTCCCTCTGGTTACCTATGTCCCTGTCATCTCAGCTGCGAAGGCATACCATGAGCAGATTTCTGTAGCTGAAATCACAAATGCTTGCTTTGAGCCTGTCAACCAGATGGTGAAATGTGACCCAAGAAATGGAAAGTACATGGCGTGCTGCATGCTGTACAGAGGGGACGTCGTACCCAAGGACGTCAACGCTGCCATAGCGACCATCAAGACGAAGCGCACGGTCCAGTTCGTGGACTGGTGTCCAACTGGCTTCAAGGTTGGCATCAACTACCAACCACCAACTGTGGTTCCAGGAGGGGACCTGGCAAAGGTACAGCGTGCTGTGTGCATGTTGTCCAACACAACCGCCATTGCCGAAGCCTGGGCTCGCCTGGACCACAAGTTTGACCTCATGTATGCCAAGCGTGCCTTTGTTCACTGGTACGTGGGTGAGGGTATGGAAGAAGGCGAGTTCTCAGAAGCTCGCGAGGATCTCGCAGCCCTGGAGAAGGATTACGAGGAGGTCGTCGTGGATTCTGTTGAATGGGAAGGAGACAGTGCAGAGGAGTACTAATTGTCTACTTCAGTTTCAATTTGGGTTGTCAGTATTGTAAGAATTTTGTGTTCATCAAATAATGTTGCAATCTGCCCATCAGTGCTTGCTGATGTATTAAAATGAGTTCATTTTGAAAATTTTTTTGTGCTATTTCTTTTACCTTTCATCCTTTTCCCTAATATCATTTAAATTTTTCAAATTCTTGTACCAAATTGTTTTTTTTTAGCTGAAGTTGTGTTAATGTTTTGCAAGTTGGTGGAATTGATAAAGTGTTCGTTGGGATCCCTGAACGAAGGAGGCTGCTGGAAGAAGGGAATCTATGGAGCAAACTGAATGTTGCTGGCTCACGGAGTTTGGCAGGCATTTGCGAACATGAATCTTTGTTGCATTGTGCCATTTGACAAGTTTCCCCTGTCCAAGGTGGATGCAAGAAATGTACTGTGAATAATGTGATTTCCTAAATGCCTGTTACTATGGAGGGACCTGGCCAGTTAAATATGGTTGTAGCTCTTCAACCATCAAAGTGCTTGTGTTAGACTAATTTTTAAAATTACTATTTGTTTTTTAATGTGTTCAGTACGAAAATGACTTGTGGGATGTTTTGTGTAGTCTAGTAGAAGTTTTGACATTTCAGAGGTGCTTGCTGCTTCCTTCATCGTGGCCAAACTAAGGCAAATGGTTAATTACTCTTTGAATAATTTAACTTTGTGCTCACCCATGTCTAGTCCCTATAAAAGTGTTGGTATTGCTAAAGAGTTATTAAGGTTTGAAGCTTTGTCTCAGGCAAAGGAAAGATTGTGGGTGAGGGTACATTTTCATAAACTTTATTTCAAGTTTCAACATAATACAGATATTCTTTATTTTATGCATTTTTAAAATAACATTCACATTTTAATAAAACTGACGATAAACACAGATTTAAAAAAAAATATTTGGGTGGTTATAAAAATTAAGCTTATGCATGGATTATGATGGTTTGTTATTGCTTGAAGATCGCGTTTGATACGGTCTGATCACGTGAGTGAAACTGTGGATAACTTTGACCGGTGCACCTTCAGCATATATGACAGTTCCAACGAAGCGTAGTTTTTGCATGCTGCATTCTGAATGTTCGTGACAAACGTACAAACAATAGTTGACGGAGAAACTCGTGGTGGAAGTTTGCTTCTCCTTTGGAACAAGTATGCGCAGTGTCATCTCTCGTTCGTATTCCCCGCTAGAGGTTGTGGCTGACCATGACGTATCTGGACACGATGTGAGACAATTTTTACTTACATTAAAAAAACACCAATTTCTATATTTATCTGACTAGAATATGAACTTTATTTATCGGCAGAGTGGAAATAAAATTCTATTGTTCAAAATGTACGAAGGCGGTTAGTTATGGCAGGATAAATATTTATTGACTAGAAATAACATCCATGCCACAGGCAGGATTTGAACTGTAGTCGAGAAGGATCGGACAAGAATGTGAAAATATTCTTTAAATCATATGCAAGATTGTGGTAGGATGGTAGGTCATTCATTACCTGGGAGCTCCAGAGCCCATTTCTGAGGTGCACCATCTGTGAGTGTTAGGCCATCATCTAGTGCGATTGATAGATACAGGCTGATTTCCCCACCAGCTGAACTGATTGTTAGATCTGTTGGTAGCACTGTACCAGACTTCTTACTTTTCACCTGTTTGAGCTCTTGTGGCAGGAATATTTCCAGCTGCAACAAACCATCTCATAACACCATCCTTCACCTGCTCACTATAAATAATGTACAATTTATATTCTGTCCCAATTCACCATGAGTATCATAAAATTGTTGAAAGTGGCTCAACACTTCTGACTTGTATCACAGAGATGCTCAGCTGAATTTCATGACATCTTTTCATTGGTTTCCCCCCTAAATTTCCAGACATCACCATTAAATATGGCAAGACTGCTCCTTTTTGATCCACTCAACTTCACTGAACAGAGCCAACCTTTAATATCATTTGACATTAAATAATCATTGCATTTGATACAACAGTTGTTAAATAACCTCTTAACTCATCCAGTAACAAACAAATTAAATATGTTTACTGTTAGAAATCAGGACACTAACATATGATAGCTGCAACAAATTAACAAATCTATAAAGCTAAGACTGATAAGGTTCGGAATTACAAATATTAACGACTTAAATGTGCCAAATTATCTCCAGAAAACAGTAAGAGGAATATTGCAGCAGGTGTGCAATGCAGGAGACAATGGTAATGTGTGATCAAACAGTTGTTCGTGATTTTTATAATAATTCATTGTAGTCTTCACAAACTTGAACACATCCCTTATGTGTCCCTCACCTACTAATAACAACAGCACCTCTCCATTTGGGGCTGCGAATAAATCATAAGAAACTTAAGGCCCCCGCCCCCTCAATATTAAGCCCAAAAGTTACAATGAAAACTTTTGTTTATGACAACAAAATCTTCCATATGAGAGAATCGGGAACACAAATGACGATGCTTCCAGTGGCATTACCTTGGGCATGCCGCAGCTCAGGCGGTTAGTTGCGCTTCTTCACGCAGGCCTGGGTTTGCACCTAGGTCAGTCCAAATGAGAATTTGTGGCACTGAGACCTTAGGTTTTCCCCTGAAAGTGTCACTCCACCGTTGCTCCATATTATATCATATATCATCTGGGGACTAAACAAAGGGCCCGTTACAGACCCAGTCCCACAGAGACATAGTCTCACCCCATCGCATCAATAACAACAGCGGTATCCTCTTCGTCATACAATCATTATTTTCCTGCCTTTGAATAATGAAGTTCTGATGACTGTTACCTGTACGGCGTCTGGAGTTTCATAACACCCAGTCTCGTTGCCTGGCTTTCCTGATCCCAGTACAGTTGAGCAGACGCTACTCTGTACGTTCACAGCCTTTAGTTTGTGATTGTATGGTCATACAATCATTATTTTCCTGCCTTTGAATAATGAAGTTCTGATGACTGTTACCTGTACGGCGTCTGGAGTTTCATAACACCCAGTCTCGTTGCCTGGCTTTCCTGATCCCAGTACAGTTGAGCAGACGCTACTCTGTACGTTCACAGCCTTTAGTTTGTGATTGTATGAGTCTGCAACGTACAGAGTTTTGTTTTCGTTACACCAAGCAACACCCAGAGGGTGCTGCAGTTTTGCGTCAAACTGCTTTCCGTCTTTGTCCCCAAAAGCAAACAGGTTCTGAAAATCACCAAAACATTTACCCCATTCAGTTTATATTTGATACACAGGGAAAAAGGATGTGTGAATATCGTCACTGCTGCAAGGTCTTCAAATCTCACAACAAATCAAATGTTCACGTAAAAGCATACTAAAGTATTTGAGTTTCGTTACGTCCCGCCGTCCAGCATCAAACTGCATTTCGAAGAGAATTTTTTTCATAAATCAGCTGTGACTTACAAAGGGACTTTTGTCACCCCCCACCACAGCCGACACCTTCCCATCTGTTAACGATATCTTGCGAATGCTGGAGCTCTCGCTGTCGGCAACAAAGACGGTTTGCAGTTCGCTTGCTACGGCGAGACCCGATGGCTGAGCTAATCCAGCCGCGTGCGGGTACGAGTTGTTTCGATTTTCTTCTTTACCGTTGCCTACGACAGCGGCACAAGCGCCGGGTGCGTACACTCTGAAACGGAATAACTTTGCTTTCAGTCAGGATAGCCAACATTTGAACATGGAACCTCCTGAATATAAAGTAGGTCTGTTAACCTCTTGACCTTGATCTTTGAGGATCTCTGCTGCATTTTATATAATGAACAGATATTAATAAGCTTAATATAGAACACTACCAGTTTCTACTTACTTCCCCTTCCACCATGTAGTGTCGTTGAGAAACAGTGCCCAGATCTGATGCACTCCTGCCATGGCAATTAGCAGTACATCTCTATCTGACTCTTCTAGAGGTTATGCCCCTGAAATCACAGTGCTAGACACCAGGCACAGATCCCATGGTGATGAGATCACCGGTTCTGTAAACTGCGCTCCACAGACAAGATCCGAACCTCGAACTCCTCTGCCAACGAGTGTTCTGACACGCGATGTTTGCAAATTGATCTGAAATTGCAGTACGTGTAGATTTGAGAATGCACTGCTCAGAACGTCAAAGCCCAACTGACCTCAATTGTGTGGGATTTTCTTCCAGTGTGAAACCAATAAGCCCAATTTCCTCATCATCAGATCAGACGGCTATTTCTTCCATTTGCTTTTGTTACGGCTTCACGTTGTTTGTTCCAAACTTGTTGCTAGCAAGCAGTCACAAAACAAAAGAGTACGCATGTAACGATACAGTGCTGTGTTTTCATCTCATAAGGCACGATACAGATGAATAAGTGCACATGTGTGACATCTGTTGGCTGTGTAGTGGACTAGAAAGAAGGCCCTTCTTAGAGGTCGTAAAGTTTCTGACCTGCAGGTCAACAATAATTTTCGTGTGAATTTTGAAAGTAGAACTGTTATTACATCTGTCAGATCCTGCAATGAACTGGTTTAGGTAAAGGAAATTTGAGGTTCTCTTGGTAGAGATAATTTTTGGTAAATGGGAACAAAAAACGAATTAAATACAGGCTGAAAAAATGGTATTGAAGTTTGAAAGACATCAATTCAATATAGTTACCTCTCTGACAGCGTGGTTTTCTGTGTCTGCGACGTACAGCAAAGTTGGATGGTGAAACACCACCCCTTGAGGACTATTAAATCGAGCATCTTGAAAAGTACCATCTACGAAACCAGGTTCATCTCCACCAATCACATACTACAAAATATAAATTTGATACAAAATTAACAAAGAAATTGCATACAGTTTTGAAAATAAATTTTAAGATTTTTGCTCAGACGAGGCGGCATTTTAATCAAAATCTGCAGAACTCAGTCTGATAAATCATTAGAGTTGCATTTACTACACGTAAGGCCACGGTGACAAATTAATGTTAAATTTCCTTATAAGGAAATGCCAGGCCTTGCAATTTTGGGCTCAACCATTTGAGGAAATTTTAAAAAAATGTACAGTTCTGCAGTTTTAAAGTGACACGTTTCTTCTGTAGCAAATAAATACCAGGTAATTTATGAACTGCAATCACCTCAGTTCCGCCGCGTGTATTAAATATAATAATCCGATTGTGTCCCGTGTCGGAAACTGCCAGTCTCTCTAGACGTCTGCCATCCCGCAGTACACTTAAGTTGTTGCTGCCTTTACTAATGCTGTTATTATTATCTGACTCAAGTTTCCTTGCAACTGATCTGTCATTATTATTATCTGCTTTGTTGTGTGCGCCTTCTTCGTCTTGTACGGTGACATTACTACATGCGACTTTTCCGGGGAACAATAATGGTCCCTTTATTTCTGGGAGAATGTGCAATGCAGGAGACAATGGTAACGTGTGATAAAGCAGTTGTTCGTGATTTTTATAATAATTCATTGCAGTCTTCACAAACTTGAACACATCGCTTACGTGTCCCTCACCTACTAATAAGAACAGCGCCTCTCCATTTGGGCCTGCGAACAAATCACAAGAAACCATTGGACTACTTAATTATTTTATATTCTGAAGTTATGCAAATTTTACTTTGGAAAACCAAAGAACATAACGTGCTTCCTAGAGTTCACTTGTTTGTAAGGACAGAGCAGTATAGAACAAAAAGTTACAGTAATGCCAATAATCATTGCACATAATTTCTGCTAACATAAATCTTCAGTACCTGAAAACTGACAGATATAACATCATTAAAATGTTACAGTGTTATTAAGTTTTAATTTTGAAAATATAAAATATGTTTTCATGAAAAATTTACAGGTATATTTGTCCTGTATCCATTTTAAATTTCACATTACCAAGTCAAAAATGCTTCTTCACTGAATTTGCCTGCCAAGTAATTCTCTCAAGCTTCGCTGGTGAAGGCAAGGGCTCCATGAACAACATTTGGTCATGAAACAAAATCCACATCTCCATTCATTCACGTGTTTTCAACCAGTCTCTGTCACGTCATCTGTGACTTTTGGAAGAACAAGTTTATGGAGCCCTGAGCGTTTCCTTATAATGTTATAAACGCCACACAGTACCCAAAAACAGAGTCGGGTTTACACTAAAAGGATTGACAGATAAACAGGGTGCTGAATTACCTACAATGAGTAGTGTCGGCCAGCACGGAATACCAAGGTCTTGCCACATAATCCCCTCAGCATCGTTCACTACAGGGTGTGTGATGTTGTAACGTTGAATTGCGGCCAATATGTTTGCAGAGTCCTTCTCATTGTCAAACTTGGCACTGTGAACTCCAACCTAACGTCACAGGACAGAAACACCAGCGCTCCACAAGTGCTCTATTGATCTAGGTGTCACCTTAAAAATTTGGAGCCATAATGGAATTTAAAGACAGAATGGAAGACAGAGAAATGCATACAATAATTTGATCAGAAAGAAACCCACTTGGAAGACCTAGGTATAGGTAAGAAGATGAGATTGAAATGATCAGATGTGAGGGTGTGGATTGGATTCATCTGGCACAGGGAGGCATTAGGCTGAAGTAAAGGGATTCAGGGCAGGAAACGTGGAACACATGGGGAGGGGGTAACTTGAGAGATGGAGGTAGAACCTCATCTTGTTAGATCGTGAGTGCTTATCATAATTGTCTGTAAAGCAATGCTGCACTACTCAGTCATGTGTGTTTTGTTTCTCTGTTTTCACTTACCACCACCAGACCGTCCCGTGCTGAGTATCGCGTCTCTAGCTGTTTCAGATGAGGCAGAACGTGCATGCAATTAATGCAACAGTATGTGAAAAAATCCAGCACAACAATTTTTCCTCTTAAGTCTTTACTTAAAGTCAGGGGCTCGGATACATTGAACCATTCCAGATCTGCAAATGTATCAAGAGATTTAAAGTTTAACAGTAATTGTTCCACCTGACAAATCCATCATGTTAGTGTCGCTGATGATAACAAATTTAAGATATTACAATGTGCCTCCAATCCAAAATCTACTTATGCTAAGAAATCAATAAATCGAACCAAGATGGATATTACTAACCCCATGAACAATGTTTAATGTAAAGTAAAAGCATCCAAGTTTCCTAGCATAATTATCATAATTTTGTACAAATGTGTTGTGGTATAAGAAAACTTACCACAGTCTCATGACATCTTGATGCCAGTCAACAGAATAATAATTTTAAATAATTAACACTTTACAAAACCTGTTCAACCATAATCAAAAATACTGTCTGTTGAATGTGTGTGACCTACATAGCCCCTGTTCAGCTTCACAGGAGCACATAATCCATTCTGTTACAATTGTATGGGAATGATCGTTGCATACTTTGGATCCCCTACCCCAGAAGCAAGAAAAAAAGATGGGATTTAGAACACTCTAAATGAAAACGAAGTGTCTTACCCCCCAACCACCCCCAGCCATAAATGAAAGTAAACCAAATCAGGCGTTCCTCAACACATCGTAATTCTAACTTTACTCACCCCTACTGAAGTCACCAATTTGGATATCCATGCTGGCACACTGTTTGATGTGATCTAGTATAATTTCTTCTTGGTCATTCCTCTCATCTTGTGTTCCAAGAACATCAAATAGACGTTCACAAGCTGTCGAAATGGGGTCCAAGATATCACTTGCCATTCTGTGTCTTCTATGACGTTACTTTAATCGCCACAATAAATCACAACATATGTGTCATATAAACAAAAATATTTATTGGTTTTTACGTACACTTTCTGCATCGATTTTAATATCGACTGTGTCGCAAATCGAGAGTCCTTATTTACACGTTCCTTTCGAAGAATGCGAAAGGACTCCTTCCTAGGAGGGAAATTTCTTTGCTGGTTTTAACGATCCCTTTTATTCCTAGTCCTAGAATAGATCACTAGGTAAACCTAGAGTACTGTGCCTGTGCGTTTCGGTTACATTCATTGTCGAACGCTGTTGTTGCTTTCGGTTGTTGCTTCCTCAGAAGCCTTTCCAGGCATTGGAATAGATGAGTAGTTGTTCTTGTCAAATCCCTTCAAAGGAAATTTCATGCTCGTGGATTCGAACATGTAAATGGGGACTGAGGTCCCCTGCATGGAGTAATCGAGAGATCGAAATCGGTCAACATATGTGTCTATTCAAACACAAACACATTTAATATTTCAATAAACTGATTAAGAACAATTCTAGGATTATTAATTATCGAAACAAGAATGTGAATGATCCCATCTCGAAATAATATAGCATCAAATAAAGTAATAAAAAATACACGAAGAATTCAAAACACTACACAAGGGAAAGAAACCTTTGACCTTGATGTGCGAATGAGTCCATGGCCGGAAATCGATGTATTTCAGTTGAGAAAACATCGTCTACAGTTGAGGCCTTTGTTTACGTCTTACAAAGCCCATCCAAACCGCTTTTCTTCCGCAACAGATAGGGTGTGGGAGCAAAAGTCGATCAGTCAAGACTCGCCTTTTTCCTCATTTTGCAAGAACCTGGCTGAGAAAAATTAATCCAATCCACCCCTCATTTCTTCAAAGATTCGTTTTAATAATATCCTTCCATTACCGCCTTCGTCTTCTAAGTGGTCTGTTTCCTTCAGGTGTTTTATCAAAATTTTGTATGCATTTCTCATCTACCCTATGCGTGCTACATGTCCCGCTTATAATTCTGCTTAATTTTAGTCACCATAGTAACATTTGGTGAAGATCATTAATTATGAAACTCATTATGCAGTTTTCTGCTCCCTCTTAAGTCCAAATATTCGCCTCAGACACCCTCAATCGATGTTCTTCGCTCAACGTGAGAGAGAAGTAGGTTCAAGCGATTGTGTCGGTTATGTTTTCATTCAAATTGAAGGCTTTCAAGAAAAATGAAGGCCGATACCGCGTCCGGCGTTTCATTCTTAATGTTCGTGCAATGGACTGAATAATTCCTTAAAGGCTAGAAACGATTCCATTTACACATACGACTCCCCCTTTTCGACCAGCTCTATCAAAATATCCCTCTTGTCTGTAATAAGACACGTCGGTAAAGACAAGGCGGAGCTGGCAAATTAAAGAGACGAGCAAAATGCATTAGCCGTGGCCAGGTTACGTTTTTCAGATGACGCCCACTCACAACTAATATTCTCACTCCGGAGCTTTAAGCGTCCACAGAAATTCATTTTCCTCAAAAGTAAGTCCAGTAGTTCACGTATTTGGGCATTTTCCTTTACTCCTATTGCTGTTGAGTTACAAGAGAAGTGCATACAAAATTTTGGTTCGAAAGTCTGAAGGAAAGAGACCATTTGGAAGACCTAGGCGCAGATGTGGGGTTGGTATTTCTTTTAGAAAATAGTTATGTCTTCTGAATGGTTAAAAATAATATATCCTCGAATAAGAAATATCATAAAGTGGCTTATATGTAATAATTAACATGTACGTATATGATGTTAAGTCTGGCATGAACACATCCGTGTAAAATAGAAAATATCACCATGGTGACCGTGAGAATGATAAACATTAACACGATATTTGTGGTCCAGTGTATTAAAACTTTGAGCTCACAAAATATGTAAATTTTGAATTAAAATTAAGCGTGAAAGTAATTTGTTCTGTTGTGACCAGGGGCTAAAATGTTAATCGTGTGTATCAGGAAACTTCGCGACTTTTCTGCTCAGTGTCCTTGGAGTACTGCATTAGACAGGCGTTGGGTTCTCTCCTCTGAAGCAGCGTTCAATGACTGAACGTGGCACTTTGCTCATCACTGCAGGCGCCATGAGGGCTACAACCGTTTACCTGATCCTGACTCTGCTGACTCCCATGAGGGCAGACAGACTGGCGTCTGCCGGTCCAGACAACTGCCTCGTGACATGCGTGTTCAGCGTCGTTCAACGTCACTTTGTCTCGGACCAACAAGTTCTTGTCCTGACGACTTCTGAAGACGACGAACACTTCGACCTTGTGCTCAGGAAACTCAACGAGATGTCTCTCTGGTCACTCCGAGTGTCAAGGCCAGGCTCAAAACCGCGAGCTACGCCTCGGGAATATTACGATAAGATCGCGAGTTACGTCATTTTCACAAGGGGTTCTGACGAGGTTGAAGGCCTGACAGACGAGCTGATGGGCAGCGCGGGGTGGAACTCCCAAGCGCGGTTCTTGGTCGTGGTGACCCTGCAGGAGACGACTCCCGAGCGGCAGGCTCTGTCTGTCGTTCGAGAAATGTGGGACAACGCCAGGACGCTGAACGTCGTGGTGCTGGTCCGGCTGGACTCGGTGTTCCGCCTCTACACCTGGTTCCCGTACCAGTCGCATCTGCACTGCGACGACGTTTCGGACGTCGTACTGATAAGCCACTGCAGTCCGGAGAGCAATGCTATGCTTGCCGGGCACAGAGATTTATTCCCAAACAAAGTCCCGAAGAACTTCCACGGATGTCCGATCACGGCTTCACTTCCTCACGATTACGCGCCTGAAAGATATCACATAAGCAATTTCTTAGTCCACTTTAATTTTACAGTCGATCTTCGAGTCAAAGACGAACGCGACGGATCCGTTTACGATAGGGTAAAATCGTCAGTTGATGATTTAACTTTCGGTTCGTCGGAAATAGCTTTCGGAGGCATTCCTCTCCTCAAGGGGATAGCAAACTTTGCAGATCATTCTTTTCCGTACTATGAAATTTTATACACGTGGTATGTTCCCTGCGCCAGACCATTGTCTCGCTTAGAGGCAATACGTAAAGTATTTACGGTGACCGTGTGGGTCTCCTTGTCGGCCACAATGTTCCTTGTGACTGTCGTCTTGTGGCGTCTGGGAAGGCGGCCTCCAGTATCGCCTGACTTCAGTAGCATCGAAATCTCGCTCTATAACGTGTGGGCCGTGGCGTTGTCGGTGTCGGTCACAAACATGCCGCGGACTTCCCGACTGAGAGTCGTTATTCTTACGTGGATCTGCTACTGTTTCGCCTTTAGCACCGTTTTCCAGACCTTCTTCACTAGCTACCTCGTCGACCCAGGGCTAGAGAAGCAGATAACATCTCTCGACGAGCTTCTCGAGTCGAAAATGGAATTCGGGTTTAGACCAGAATTGGACGTGTATTTTGCGGATTCGAGCAACTGGATCCACAGATACCTTCGGGGTCACAGGAAGCAATGCGTCGACACCGAGGAGTGTATGCAGCGCGTTCGCGATTCAGCGTCGTTCGCAACCATAACAGAATCGTGGACCGCAGGTCGGTACCTGAATCCTGCTGGTGGAGGTCCCGCCGTATGTCGTATGAATGATTTTGACACATTCCCCATCAGAATTGTGTCCTACTTTCGAAAAGGCAGCATCCTTAAGGACGAGTTTAATAAGATCATTGTTTCGATGGTGGAATCCGGGCAGATCGTCAAGGCAGACGACGAGCGATTACGCCGTTCTGTCCTGAGGTATGTCGGCAGAGGCGACGGTTCTGACGAGTACTTCGTATTCACAACGGCACATCTGTTGCCTGCCTTCTACGCTCTCCTACTAGGGCAGGCCCTGAGTCTGGTCGTGTTCCTGGGCGAGATCGCATACGACAAAGTGTGACCCTACTCACGGAACAGGTTGACCTTTTGAAGGCGAAGCCCTGAGGTTCTTTTGCTGGGGTTGGTTCATTATTGAATTGTTTGAAATGAACTTAAATGTTTGGAAAACTGGGATTACTTTTAAATATGTTTGAAGCTGTTTATATTATTTAAAACTATCTGAAGTATTATTAAATGTAAAATATTACGCAACGTACGATGTTTTTGAAAGACCAGTATTTTGTGGTGTTGAAGTGTTATTAAACGCAATTGAAGAAAGAGCCTTTGAGATGATTTTAATTTTGTTCTTGTCGTGGTAACGTCTTTTTAGGAAATGCAGATAAATACCGACATTAAGCCAGGAACTGTGTTTCTCCATGTTATCTGATTTTCTCGTTGTCTAATTCTTGCGATCACGTGAGTGTGGAAAAATGGAGCTTTCTTCCGACTCGAAGTCGCCCACATTTCATTCCCGTCTTTTTTCCAAAGCGACAAATGTTGAAGTACTCGCAAGAGTTGGCAACACCTTTGCTCCTAACTTCATAATATTTAGCAAAGACAAGCTAACAGTAACATCATTTCCGTGAACTATCTGACGAATTTTAATGAAATTTGGTATGAACATCTTACAGATAGACACCCTCACTTTAACCTCTTGGCTTCCTAACAACAGTAGTACCAACATGGCGAGAGCGCAACATTCTGAGGTGGCATCAGTTTTAACGACGTTTGATTTAGGATTCAGGAAAGAAAACCAAAATCCGGCCTCGTAATTCGAACGTTTTATTTGCGAATGTCGGGCGGTTGAAGTCACGTGAATCTCACATCCATTACGCTGATAGTCCGTGGCGTAGACATGAAACCTGTGATTTAGTAATTCAGAACGATTTAAAATTTCGAATTCTCATAAGTGTGTTTTGTTTTTTGTATCCATAGCAACTAGGAAACATAGCAGCTGCACTTCAACTTCTCGAGAGTATAAGAAGGCTTTCCTGCTTCAGAAGTGTGTATAAACGAGAACCAGGGCAGCAAACTTAGGCTTACTATAAATTTGGTGATATTTATTAACGTCTCAGGGCATCAGAGTTTGGTAAAAACACAATTATATGCACGTATTTGGAAACTGTAAGTAGTTAAAGCCGTGGCCTTTATGAATCTTCTTATATAAATTTTAGTCTTACAGAATTAATAATATTAATCAACTCTTTAAAGATCAGTGGTAACTATATTTACCATCTGCTTTAACAATCAGGAACTATGCATTTTGTATGATTCTCG